CACTGCTCTTCATCACTCCCATTGACGCAATCCAGTTGATGATTGCAGACCTTGCTGAACTCAATGCAAGTGCTGTCCTCCTGGCACTGGAACTTTGCAGAGCACACTGCATGGGCAGAAACACCTCAGTTAGACATACAAGGCAAAGCTGGATCTCCTTTGCTTTAACTAGGTGCAATGTAACACTTGGCTAGTGCTGGAAAAGAGCTTCTAAATCTCTTGCTTTGCCAATTCATTCCTGACATGAGATGCAAAGAGTAGATTTAGTAAAACAGTAGGGCTAGATTCCCAGCCTAGGCATTTCTTTGTGATGTCTATCTACACCAAAGTCCACCTCTTTCAAGAAATAACTTTTCAAACTTCAGCCTACATTTTAATCTTAGGATTCATTTTGTCAGCTTAACATGCTACTGAGAGTTTGCTGGTCTGTGGAAATTGTCAGCATGCAGGCCCTCAGTCAGAAAGATCTGTAAGGTAATACCGCCCAGCTCAAGTCCCTGCTGTGTACACAGCTAATTCCTTTTTTCTGCTTCCCTCAGACTCACTTAGTTCAGAATGCTGTTTCTATCACCTGGCTTTATGCTGGCTATGCTCAGATCTATCCCAGAATCCCAGAATGGTTATCAAATCTACACTGCTTTCCTGTGAGTCTGCTTAAACAATGAAGTTTACAAAACACACAACAATGGCTAAGGAGGCCACTCTGTAAACTCTGACCACAGCATGTGGAATTTATGTGGCTGATTTGAAGGACATGTTTACAACACACAAGGCAGTTGCTCCTGGGAGACCTGCAAAGTAGTATGAGGAGAAATGGGGACTCCAGTACCAGATATACAGATTCTAGCTTGGGTATCAAAAACCACGTAGCTGCATTAGGCGAAGAAGCTCAACTGCTTTCAGTGTCAGGTAAGTGATATCAGGGCCCTAAGCGCACCAACAGGCTCTGCAGACTCTTATTCCACTTCATAAAGGCCAGCTTTGATAAGATGCAGATGTGTCATCTTGAAACAGACTGCCATGAGAAAAGCAGTGAGAAGGAAAAGCCTGGCCCCTTTTACTCAAGAACTGCATTTAATTTCAGACCCTTGCTATTGCTCCTTACCTGAGGCATATTGTGGGCATGCCTATGCTCTGCATTGTATCTTGCTGATCCTGACTTGCCTTGCTGACTTCTTTGTTGACCTTTGATCTGCCTTAGCGTAAGGACACACAAAGGCGATGTGAACACTGATTATGAATTCAGGGACTGTGCCATACAGACATGGAATAAATAAGCAGGGAAGCAACAGTGGCAAGAATGTAAGAATGGAAGCCAGTCATGATATGATAAGCGGGATCTTATCAATATGTATAAAAGGGAGGGAGTTAAGGACCTGAGCCAGATGGTCTCAGTTGTATCAAATAACAGAATGAGAAGCGATGGGCACAAAAGCTGAAATACAGGAAATTCAATTGAAATATAAGATTTTTTTTTTAATGACGAGCAATGTTAAACATTTGAACAGGTTTCCCAGAGAGGTTGTGGAGTCTCCATTATTTGAGGTATTCAAAGCACAACTGGCCTTGGCCCCAGTCATCCTGCTCCACATGACCCTGCTTTGAGCAGGGGCATGGATGAGACAAGCTCCCAGAGGTGCCTTCCAACTTCAGCAGATCTGTGGTTCTGTCATTCTGTGAAACATTTCTTAGTTTAAGCACTGAATTAAAAGGGACGAGCAGGTGGATTTGGGCGTTAGTAAGCAAGACGGAAGAGCTGGGGACTACGACACCAGGGGGGGCTGTAGGCCAGGGCTGAAGTATAGTGTGAGGCCTAGGAAAGAAAAGCAGAACATGGAGGGGGCAACTTGGGCACGGCTTTCTTCCAGGCTTCATGGTGGGTCAGGGGTTTCTCCAGTGGAATAATCTGTTTTCCCAAGCAACTAGCATTTCTGTTCTGGCAGGAGTAGGCTGAAGCTGCCTGGCAGTGGAATGCGGCCATTACAGGTGTGGAGGTTTCAGCTCCAAGGGATAGTTCAGGCTGTGCTCAGGCTACCTGAACCTTCAAGGAGCATTGTGTCCTTCTGCGACCATGAACTGGCAGAGTGGGGTAACTACTCACCACAGTTTCTCTCATCCAACCCATTGGGGCAATCTTTGATTCCGTCACAGGCTGGGACACACAAGCCGTTCACAGAACACAGGAACTCCTCAGGACAGGCTATAAAACCACAAATGAGTGATTAGTCCCCATGACTGGAAACCTCCTTGTAGCAAAGCACTGTGACTTGAAAGTGGAGCATGAAGCTACGCACCTCCCTAACCACATGTGTGCCACAGCAGCATGCGCACAACACTCACCAAACTCCCCAACTGCTGCCACATCCTCCACTCCGCACAAGGCAAAAAGAAGCTGGGTTGTACAGCATGGCAAGGGAAGCTTCCCTGTTTCCCAGAATGTCAATGGACAAGATCCAAGACAACCATCAAACTAGCATGGTATGCCTCTGCTTTAGCCCTGAGTGCTGTGACAAAACTGGAACAGATTATTTTGGAGCTGCTACTGAAACCCTGTTGAGGTCTTGAAGGGTTTGTCAGACACGTGTCACCAGGTGCACGTATACAGTGACTGGTGTGCATTATAACCACCTCTTAAGAGAAAGACTGAGAAACCTTGGAAAGAAAGACTGTGGGTATGCCTTTGCGTGCGTACATACATACTTGTTTGCGTCTTTTTTTGTCTCTCGCTAGCACAATTTCCAAGGTGAGCAGGAAATAGCTTTAAGAGTTTTTATAATTGAAACAAAGGCCATCTGAAGTCAGAGATGTCTCACTGAGTTCCCAAGGCCATTAACACAGATGCAGTGGTGAGCCTGAAGGAGTTCTTTGGCCTTGTAGCCTGGATGCTCTTGAGAACACGAGGCAGGGCCATATGTGCAGAAGCAGTTTCATATATGAATTGCCTTTCTGTGGGAGGTGAGAGATAAGTGGTGTGTGCTTCACTGTGCTTGTAAGCATGTGCACAGAGGGCAGGCAGTATCTAGGACTCACAGGACGTGTCTTGTGTTTCTCCTAACAAAAGCTAAGAGTGCAAGTGGTTGTTGGTAACTGTCTGGATCCTCCCCACCACACTGAAGGGCAGAAAGGCAGTTTGGACTTACGGTCTGATTGGTTGTACAGACTGTAGGCAGCCTGTACCCCGGGGCCTGTTAAGGAGATCTGAGAGGTGAAGGTGATGGTGATGTTAGCAGAGGACGTGACAGGAATCCGCTCCGCATAGGCTTGCAGGGTCCGCAGGCCACACAACCTGACAAGAAAACGCAGACATGATGCCCTAGGCAACAAGGAAGAAAGCTGAAAAGGGGAGCGAAGTGGTCCTCTGGAGCTAAGGGAGCCGTGACTGACTTGTGGGGAGGAGACCACACAGGTCATGGCAAGCAGGCAAAGCAAAACATCTGAAATTATGAGGGAGAAATGGGAAAAGTCTGTAGCCTTTCAAACCCTGTCAGCACATGGGAGAGCTGGTATTGGTCTTGTTCTGCCAGGCTATATCTTAGTGACTGAGCAAATCCCGTCTGAGAAGAGAGTAATTCTGGTGAATTAAGCTAGGGCCCGGCCTAAAATGACTGACAAAGCAATATCAGGAAGCTTCAGAGACAGAAATTAAAAAAAAAAAAAAAAAAACCTAAAACACATGAATGCTGTGATAGAATTGCTTTCAGAGAGAAGGGAAAAAACGAAACAACTAGAATGGTAGGGGACAGTAGGACAAAATCAGTCACCATATTCGGGCCTGAAGAACTAGACAAAACCAGCCTGTATGTACCATGTCCCAACTATACTTTCAGGTCACATGTGAGTCAGAGTGACCCTTTATCTTTTGACGTTTTCCCCCTTTCTGGGCAAACACTGAGTTCAGGCCGCACAAATCAATTCACTTCTTACAGTTACCTCCGTTAAGTCATGATCTAGAAATTGTAGCGTGACAGTTTAAGAGAAGTGCAGGGAGAGAAAATGCAGAAATCCTAAGATAGGGAAATGCAGAAATCCTAAGATAGGGATACAGTGTTCAGTAGTTTATGGATTAGACCCTTGAGGTAAAAAGCAGTTATTGCTACAGAAGCAGTGGAGATAAGCTTAATGGGATGGGTTTTCAGCGAAGGGGGCATTTTTGTATGGATCTAACCAGCTTGGAGCCTACTTTGAGGACACAGGAGTGCAGCAGTTGTTGCTCTTTTACATGTAGGCAATGGATGTAGCCACAGCAAAGTGCAGGCACTGGAGTCAGGAAGTTTTACAGGAGGAATTAGCTCTTGTTAAAGCAGGAGGATGTGGAGCTTGGTGGAAGATCTGTACGAAGGTGAATGTGAGGGCACATGCAGCTAATACTGCAGAGATGATGACAGGCAGATTTGCAAACACAGGAGATATGGGAGGACACTGAGGTTACACACATAAGAGAAATCTAGGAAGCCTGATGTAAGCAGCAAGAATGAAAAGGCGCGCTGGTAGCTCAAGGCAAATCTCTAAGAAATGTGTTCACAGGGGAGCCTGTGAGCTAGGGAGGTTGAAAAACAAGTAGATAAGCAAGAGGCACCAGCAGAAGCAGTTGGTACTCAGTAGGTGGTGGGATCTCCTTTTTCAGAGCAAAGGATCTGCAGGTATTTAATCCCAGCTCCTAGGGTTGGGAAATGAGAGGAACCAGAGCTCCAGCACACACCTTCTATTTTGAATTATCCACTGGCCTTGGGTACAGGGCAGGTCATATTTCTGTCTGCTGAGCGCATAGGCATCAAACCACAGGGTGACCCCATAGTCAAGAGATGGGACCTGCAAGAGAAGGCATGCAGAAGAGATGAGAGGCAGCTCCTGTGAATTCTGCAGCCCCCGAGAGGCAAAAGAAATGGGTAGGATATATATGAAAGGGAAGCTACCAATTCACACATGGCAGACAAAAAGGAAACATTATCCAAACGAGAACCACGCCATACCCCAGGGTAGGTGTTGCTGCTTTTAAAACATGGTAATTTCTAGTAATCGTGTTCTGTCTTGAAGAACTCCAGTAGATTTGGGATTTCAGATTCTTCCTCAACTACAGCATCTCTACTCTGGCATGCAGTATTAAATGCCCTTCAGTAACATTCACCGTGGGAAGTCTAGGCTGGTTGCCACCCACTGCTTGCATTTCATGACCTTCTCATCAAAAGTGATCCTAAATGCTGGGCCCCCCTTTACGTGGGGAGGACCAAATGGGTTTCAGGAAGGAATGGATGCTCCTGTGAGAGCTGGTTCTTACCGTCAAGTGCCATGTGCAGTGTGTGTTGGGTGAATAGTAACTTGGGTAGTGTGGCGTGCCAATCTTCCCCTGCAGCTTCAGGCCTTCCCGTAGGGTTATATTCACTTTGCAGGCTGTAAATACAGACATTTAAAGACCTATTGCCTGTCAGCTCAACCTCAGCCTAAGAACACCATGTCCTCATCCCCTTTTAGGAGGGGACTGTAAGACCTGATGTTAAATTAGAGGCCAATTGGATGTTCCACCATCCCCCTACAAAAGGCCACTTCTACCTAGCAAGACTTTCAGCCTTATCCTCCTCAGAGAATGATTGTAATACTGTACTTTACTGCTTTAGACTCTACCTGTACCTTTAGAAATTTACCTGTTAGTGGAGCTAGATGTGCTGTCCAGGCCACAAGTGGTCTGTCCATACACAAGAACCTGGTGTTGTTCCTGAGGTATTATGATCACTCATGGTTTGCTCATCAAAGCTTGATCTGTAAAGCCTTGTGCTCGACACTAATGAATTCAAGTTGAGGCGCAATTTTGAACCTTCTTTTTATTGACCACCGCTACCATTGCAATCTTGAGTGAATTCTGCCCCTAATGGAGATGCATTATCTCTAGAAGTAGTAATATTATAAGAGGTAAGCTATCTCCTTCCTCTATCTATTGCCTTTTTCCTCTAGATTTCATCACCTTTGAGGGGCACAGCCTGTGCAGAGAGGATGAAGGGGTCATAATAGCTGTACATGGCTTTCTTCCACACAATGGACATCGCAGAGCCCGATGAAAGGACTTCCACAACGGGCTCCTGCCGGCTGCAACCATAGATTCTGAGGGGAAAGAGAGAGCAAAAGAGTGAGAAAAGGGAGAAAGGGAGTAAAGTGAGCGAGTAAATATAGCAGCAAACAAAAAGAGAGAGAATCACAAGAGAGAGACAAGAGGAAGATATGTTGCATGTGAACATGCCTGCTGTGAGACACTAACTGAACCAAATCAAGGGTTAGCGGAGAAACAACTTGTGTTGCTGTAATCTATCAAACAAGAGGACTGACTGTGATATCCCACATCAGTGACTCAGCTCATCAATGCAGGTTGTGCATCAAAGAGAATTTCCTCTGAAGCATTTTAACACCTTCCCCTGCTGTGGTGTGTCGTGCCATCCTGCCTGGCTTCCCCACCGTGCTCACTCTGATCAGGAGCTACCTACGAGGTGATGAGATGTTTCTCCAGAGGCCCCGCTGCATCATACATAGCCAAGCGATCCCTGCACTCTGGGAGAGTCCACTCCAGGCGTAGCTTGATCATGTAACCCTTGAGGACATGGAGATGCCAAAGACAACTGGAGGCCAAATAGTCAGGGCCCTCCAGCTTGAAGACGTCATCTTCCTGGAGATAGCTATATCTATAGCAACCTGAATCCAAAGGGGAAGAGAAGGGAAACAAAGAAATAGGACTTAGACCTCAGGGTGAAGTGAACTGAAAGGAGGACAGTGTAGTGGTGGTGGTTAGGAAAATTCAGTTATGGGATTGTCATTTAGGATATCAGTGTGAACTTGATTTTAGAGTTAAGATGAGTCATCCCAGTGAGCTCAGTTTACTTTCACATTTGTTCTTAGTGATCCCAGTTGTCTGTTACTGGTGCCTCAGTTCTCACAGAGAAAAACTGTTCCCTCTCCCTTGGTTAAGCCCATACTCCTTTAGTCTTTTGATATTAGCATAACACATTTACCTTCCACTTGCTCTATTTTCCTAGCCTCTTTCTCTTCTCACCCCCTCACATACATCCCTGTTTTACATTCCCCTTATCTGTTTTCCAGGTCTCAGCAGGTTTCCAGCTCAGGATTGCTGCACAAAAGTCAGTTTAAATGTGAATTTCCAATAGTATATTTAATGGAAGATGCCACCTATAGCACTAAAAACACTGCCTGAAACACCTTTGAACATCAAAAAGACATAAACTCCTAAAGGACTTAAACTGCATCCAGGGCAGAGCTATGCAGGGAAATGCCCATCTAGCTCAATAGGTTTGCTTGGGATTTGGAATTAGTATTGTTGTATTTGACAAGGTTAATTATTAAGGTGACTAGACAGGCCCTAGGAGTTGATATGTCTTGCAGTGGGGTGTTACAGAGTGCAGGGGTGTCAGAACACAGCACACAGGCATCTAGCTGCTTTATATAGTTAAGATGTGGCCATAGGTGCTTTTGCCAATATACAGAACTGATGCTTCCTTGTTGCTCTTCTCATCCCCCTTCCCAGGGCTTCCCCCCACAAAGTAACAAAAGAAAAAGATAGCCTACCCAGAGTGGATTTCAGGACTATTATGTCTTTCACACTGGATTCTGTTAAAAACGGAATACATAAAGCAAGATAAACAAAAAGACAAAAAAAAAAAAAGTGGCAGTATCTAAATGTTAGCACAGCAGATGATGACTCCCTTCCTAAATAAACTGATGCCCTACAGCTGTGACATGGAGCATTCTTCAAGAGCTTCTCAGCTTTCAGGGACCTGTTTCAGTCATGCTTTCTCCACCCTATGTCACTGGGAAATCTTTCTGGCATCTCTCCTAAGTCTAACATCTTTGGTACATGATTTCCAACATGCCACAGTCTTTTCTCCTTTTTTTTTTTTTCTCCTTGCTTATTTCATGGTGCCTTTCCTAGTCCTTCTTCACCATCCCAGGAGTAGCCATACCCTATGGCTACTATAAGCCCTTCCCTATAAGCCACACCAAAGGGGCACAACCTCACTTTCCAGAGAGATCACTGGCTGCCCTGAGAGGTGACTGTCCCACCTCACTCTCCTCTTCCTGGAAGTAGAGTACACACCCTTCCGGGTCAATGGAGAAGGGCTGAAACCTAAAGCAAGTTCTTTCCTATGACTTTTCTTGGTTTTGCATCACACTATGTAAAAGGATCTCCTGAGGGAAGAAACTTCTTGAAATAGAAGCACAGGGAAGCTTAGGACCAGCCTGAAAGTTTGGCACAGTAAGCAAGTTTAAATGCCAATAAGTAGTTTAAATGCTAATCAGAGCCAGCAGTGGGGAATAAAGTGGGGAATAAAGAATGTGCATATACTCTTTCGGTTCACATAATACTCACTGAAAAAAAATTAAAAAAAAAAAAAAGGGAAGAAGAAGAGAAAGAGAGAGAAAGGGGGAAGGGGAATTGTTGATAGAGTAGAAGGTGGTCTCTTGTGATGATGACAGGTTCATGAAACAACTACCTGAAAGGAGGTTGTGGGGAGGTGGGGATCAGTCTCTTCTCCAAAATAACTACCAATAGGACAAGAGGAAATGGCTTCAAGTTGTGCTAAGGAAGGTTCAGGTTAGAAATTGGGAAAAAAATACTACACAGAAAGAGTGGTGAAGCATTGGAACAGACTGCCCAGGGTAGAAACATGTAGATGAGGCAGTTAGTGACATGGTTTAGTAGGCATGATGGTGATGGGTTTACAGTTAGACTTGATGTTCTTAAAGGTCTTTTCCAACCAAATGATTCTATGATTCCATGAAATCATAAAGCCCATCTTTGGGGGAGAGAAACGAAGATAAAGCCCTCAGCAAGGACTGCAAGCCTGTACAAAATAGAGCTCCTGACTTTTAGGAGTTGTGTCTTGCTTCATCCTCACAGCTGAACTGAAAGCAGACAAATATGAGACACTAATGGGAATAACTGCCAACGTAGAAGCCACCAGGAGGTCAGCCGAGTGTGAGAATTGCTGTTGGGGCCTTGCCTAGTTCAGGGGGTTGGTCTTTCATAGCTTTTAAACAGAGCTTGCAATTCTGTGGGGAGAACTGAGTAGTTTTGTCATGATAAAAGCAGATGCTGTGGGAAGAGTGAACCTTCAGACATAATGCAGGCTCTTAAAGAATCTCCTGTTCTGCAAGGTGTGCTGAGATGGTGTTAATGTCTGTATCTGAAAGTAATAAAACTGAGTCCTGGCAATAAAGAAGAGTGAAACCCTGAAGTTCAGTGAGAGAAGGAGGAAAATAGTTTTCTGGCGTAAATGTAGCCGTTAGTAAAACTAAAACACTGGAGAGGTTCGAAAATGTTCCTGTATCGGTCTGTGTGCAGACTGTGTTTAGGCATGCTACCGAGACTTAATATTTAGAGCTAAGTGGGTCAGTAAATGAGTCTTTCAGACAATGAAGTGCTAACCTTGCAAAGTTTTCACTCCTATTTTAACCCCATTTCATTTGCTGTGTAAGTCACTTGCTTCAGGTCATCATAGGCCAGCAGTATAAGAGCTTTTGGCTTCAGACACAGCTGCTAGACCATGCTTCTGACTAGAGAGGGAAGCAGAAAGGTCTAGGGAAAGCAGAGGAGCTGAAGAAACTACAAGTGGGTGTTAATTATAAAACAGAAAGAGTTGTGGTCTGCTCATGTAAATCTGCCTGAAATTAATAAAAAAAAGAAACAGATGCAAAGGGAATAAAATAGAACTGTGAGTAGCTAGAAGAGTAGCACCATAAACTTTTTTCTTCTTTTTTTTCCCCTCCAGATTACATTCTGAACTGAGTAAATAAGCGGAAAATACAAGATGGGATGATTTGGAAACATTTGTTATATTGTCTCATGACATCTTTCTTAAGAAAGTTAATTTAAATTGGCTGAACATAAGGTATGGTATGGTGGAAATAAATCACAAGTAGAAAAAATGACTAATAGTGACTGCAGGAGGAGAGGGCTTCATGGGAAGCTAAGGCAGATCCAGAATAAGATTTAATGCGAGGACGTGGATGAGGGAATTAATAAATTTTCTTTGAAGGCACCAAAAAACTCATCACCAGATGAAAACAATTGAAATGTAAAGGGAAATGTTTGAGAAAATATAGGTGGATATATTAAAATGAGATTCATCTTAGAAAAATGCAAGATAACATTCCCAGGGAAACAAACTTGGAAATAAGAACCCTAAGGGGAGAGAACAAACACAATCTATTTAAGACCTGTGTGATTTGCAGCTCTGTACAGCAGCAGTTAAGTCTCCTTGTAAATACTTAATCCAAATTCCACTGAACTTTGACGCATTAAGTATAGATATAACTCTCAGTCCTTGATCTAACACCAATTTTAGGACACTTCTGTAAGGGTGTCTTTTTAAACAGTCTGTGATTCACTTTGGGTGGGAATAAACAATCCTTGTGGTGACTAGTGGTGACTTAAGTATGTTGCCTTTACTGTTATCACATTTAAGTAGACTGGAATAATCTCCCCAAGGAAAGCAGGAAATCTAATTGCTTTCTGTTTTTGAAACGATACAATCAAAGTCACGACCAGGGTAAGGAATGACTACACAGAAACCAAACATGAAGAGGGAGACAGAAAAGAAAAACTTTACCTAGCTGGTCATGATTAGTGGTATCTCAAAGATCTTTAATCTTTTTGAGGCAAAGATGCTGTTTTTCAAACTTCAGTGCTTCTCACTGAGAAAGAAATGTGCAATTCTCTGTCTTTTTCCTCAAATCTTTCCTGTCCTCTTCAATATGCCCTTCACAAATGACTTCTGGCCTCTTTTCATAAACCCCCTTCAGCACTTTATAAGCCTCAGCCCATTTCTGACTATTGAGCTGCAACTGAGCATCTGGTACTTACCCAGCAGAACCAGGGAGTCAGGATTGACCTTGTACTCTGTCTGGTAGGACAGGCTGCCTGAGCTGTTGAAACTAGTGGTGAGTTCTTGTCGAAGTGTTGCATTTACCCTCTCGGCAGTCATCTCCTTTTGCTGATTCTCAGGGATTTGGAGAGCAAACCAGAAGAAAAAGGTCAAAGCCCCCTCCCTAACAGAGAAATAGCATGTTAAATATATATGTATATATATGTATCTTTTTTTCCCCACTGCAAGTGAATGTAACATCCCTAAGAATCACTGGAGTGACAAAGCCCAGGGATAACCTCCAGTTGTTTCTCCACAAAGCAGACACAGTTGTGTGAACTTCCCAGTAGGCTGGGCCAGCAGCCACAACCCAGAGGAACCACTGTGAGTAGGGCAGAAGAGCTGTTGTGTCCACAGTGCTAGCTAATGCTCAGTCCCTCAGGGAAGAAAGCCATTTTGTGCCACCTGTTTTTAGTGATTACCACAGGTGTTCAAATTTGTGTGATAATTAGTTCAAGATTGGTCAGATGAATATGCTTCAGGTAGAAGAGACCTGTGGTCAAGGGTTGAAATTAAACACTTAAGACTTCATTGTCTCATCTCCCAGTGGTGACAAGTGGATGATTTACAGCTCAGTACCTTACCACAAGCCATTAATGTTGGGCAGGGTCAAGTGGCAGGAGACAGAGACTGTGAAAGTTCTGTTCAACCAGCTGGCAGGGAAAATTTGCTGGGGGAGGGGGAAGGGATGTTGAAGCAAAGGTTTTTTTTTTTTTTTGTGAAATGCTAGAGAAAATTTCCAAGTGAAACTTTCTTCCTCAATTTAAAATGGAGTTAAACTAAAATTGGAATATTCTATAGCTGAAGGACAAATACGCAGTTATAGTTTTCCGTGAAAAGAAGAGAACAAATTGAATAGGTCAGTTCAGAAGTTCTTTGCACTTCCTTGAACTAGTGTGATGACCTGCAAAGTTGAAGTCCCACGTGTGTCCTATTTCACTGTTAGCATGTTCTAAAGCAGACTATGCTTCTTGTCTGGAACACATTTGCTCCCTTCTGGAGCTTAGTAACAGCCATAAAAATGACTTTCTTGAATTAGAGAAAATAATTTCCAAGTACTTAGTTTCTACTGAGAATGACAAGTAGAGATTTTCATTTTTTCCTAGTCATTTCTCTTGAATCATTGCCTCTGGGGAAAACAAAAACAAAAAAACAAAAAACAAAACAAACAAACAAACAACACAGGGAAAAACAACCCTTATTTTTGGCTTTTCATCTTGTCCGTGAATGAATGTGAACTTCAAAACATCCACATGGCTCATGCCATACCCACTCTGGTTCTGGACTGCCCAGCCTGGCCTATTGCTCATGACGGGGACTGCAGCAGTCTGCTGCAGCAGTTTGCAGCCATGGCCGTAGATTTCAGCTGAACAAGAGTGCAAGTGACTGGGAGTTTTCACATGTGAACAACCAAGAATACTGTGGGTGCTACTCACCCAAAGGCGTAGACTGTACTCGAGTTGTAATATCGCCCCAGCTCTGTGGCATCAATCAGTTCCTTCAGCTGTAACGAGAATGTCATTTCATAACTATCAAGTGATGTTACGGTAACAAAGGACCTACAGCAACTATTTTTCAGCCTTCTTGCTGTACAGACCCACCAAGTCTGTCACTTGGATGAGCATACCTGATCCCTTCCTCCTTCTACTCACTGAATTGCCTCAGGATCAGCTCTGCTCGTGAAATTGCTCTCACCATCTTTTGAAGCTTAGCTGACTCTATCCAGAAGGCCCTGGACTCTGACCGCCCGAGTTCTGGGGTGTACTGGCGATTGAGAACCTGGAGGCTGCCAGAGTAAAGCTGCAGGATGGCTGTTTCTGGGTGCCGTGGTTTGTAGTCTGCCAATAGAAGACACTGCTGGATTACCTTACTGATATGGAAAAAAGAGGGGTTCACCTCTATGGATGTGTCTGTAATGATCACTCAGAGTCAATAATACTCTTTTGGCTATGTGCTGGGTTTTATCTTTACTAAATCCCATCCCTCCTGTGCAAGAACAAAATACATTAAGCAGTTACCTAAAAAATACCATGTTGCTGTGGCAGTCCCGACCAGCAATAGAAAGGCTATGCAGAGGGGCACGTAGCGGAGGCAGTCACGTGAGTTAGTCTCAGATTCATCCTTTGAGAGGGAGTTGGCATCTTCCTCCTGTTCCTCAGCCTCCATTAGGGGCACCTGGTGACACAGCATACCAGATCAAGCAAGGTTTTCTGCATGCCATTACATCCCTTGCTGGAAGTGCTCTGCTACCTCTGTACTCCTCTCCCAAGACCTGTAGCCTTATGACATCTCTGTGCTAAGCACCAAATATTTTCCTCAGTGCCACTGTGAGTAAAACTATAATCCAATGGGAGACAGGCTTCTGAGTCACTGTCCTGTCTGTCTATGCCTCCTGGAAGAACTTTCAACTTCCAAAGACATCTCCCATTTTTCAATAACTCCCCAAATTCGAATGAGTACAATAACAAATTTCTCTATGAATGGGAGTGTTGCTCTCCCAGGCTGGAAATGGTTTTAAAAGTGGTATTTTATTGACCTAGAGATAAACACAAAAGAAAATCCTTGACCTCAAGTGGACATACAAGTTGCACACAACAGCTCCAGCCTGGGAGTCTGCAGTTGCATTCTGTCTTCTGTGCTCTTTTGCTCTCTGTCCTCAAGAGTAAACACACCCTGCCATTGCCACCAGACCATGAGTCCCAGGGTTAAGCCCACTCTGGCATGGACTCTGTAGGTATGATAGTGAATGAAAAGCTTTCTAACAACCTGTACCCACCCCCCTCTTTCTGCCATGGGACAACTTCTGGCTTCCTTTTTCCTTCTTCCCCAGGCTGTCTGTTCCTAGCCGTGGACTCTGAAGGTAAGAAACACCATTTCCTAAGAAAGTAGTGCCCATCTCAGTTACTGCTCAGCTACTTTCTCTCTCCCTTCCTCCATGGTCATCTATTGTCTTCGAATTGCCCAGCTGCCACCAATGGCTTTGTGTGTGTCCATGACTAGAGAGGGAAGGGACGTGAACACGTCTGTGTGGGAGGGCGCAGAGGTCTTGGGGAATGCCTATGCGTTGTGTGTGAGCGTGCCAGGTGGTGCATGAGCATGCTGATGGGAATGCACTAGGGAGGCTTGCTGCAGATTTGGGGATAGGAAAGGGTCCCACATCCATTTCAGTGCGCCTGAGTGCCTTAGATTGTTCACAGGACAGGGCAATTGACTTCTCAATCTCCTTGCTTCTCCTCAGTTACTGAGCGTGAGCCTCAGACCTTCCAGGTTGCCTTGCAACACAGAAACATGATCGCAGAATGTAAGCACAAAGCAAAACCAGAAAAAACAACAACAACAAAAGCTTAGCTAACACCAAGATAAAACAGTGGCACATGTGCTTGTGCTATTGTACACTTCTAGAGAGACACATTTTACAAACAGGCCTAACACTTTCTCTTTATGGGTGAACTTTCTGTGGGTCCCCTGCAAGGGTCTTCTGCCTACTGGACCAGACAGAGCAGTCCAGGAAAGCCAGGCTACTTCTCCACTATCATATCCCTTCAGAAACAGAAGGCATAAGCAAAGAACCACAAACCAAAGGGTGGGGGCTTGGAGGGCAGGAAACAACAATAGAGGAACCTGTCTTTTTTAGAAGATTTAATTGTAAGCTCAGAGGTTTCTCCCAGAGCTGCAGACCTACCTCTGAAATCTGCTGCTGCCTGTGAGGCCAGTCCCCACCCCTACACAAGTTGGCTCACACACACACACACACACACACAGGGAAAAAGAGGGAGGATATCTTTTTTACCTAAGATCAAGGTCTCTTCAGATCAATAATCGGATGTCATGTTGCTTCAGCTCAACCTTTGTCCTGCACTGTCCTGCACAAAAGGTCAGCACGTCCTGTACAACTGTTTTTTTTTCTTTTTTTCCTTCCAGTGCAGTCTTCTTTGTCTTGCAGGTGGTAGATCTGCAGGCTTTACAGAGAAGATCCTGGAAAATTTCAGATTAGGAGCATCTCCAGCTGTGCAGAGAAGGCAGGAGGCTGGTGCAGATAGGTTGCAGTCCTCTTCAGGGAACAGAGTTGCTCAGCAACTGTTGTATTTCTTAGTTACCCTCCTTGGTCCCACTGGAGGGAGAGGCAAAATGTAGGGTGTGGACAGGCACATTCCCCCAGCATAGGGATGGAACAAACTGACTGACAGGTAGATTGCTTGAAGAGGGAAAGATGTCTGTAGTCTAGTTACTGCAGCTGTAGAATGGATGAAGACAAGGTGTGTGGCGTCTCTCAGTGCTGACTTTCAAGACTCCCTCTGTTATCCTTGTGCTCCTTGCCAACTAGTCTCCTGACTTGTTCTGGATTCCCCAAACTTGCACTCGCTTCCCCTCACTCCTTCATGCAACATTTGGTTTTTTTTCTAGTCCCAGGCTCCCCCCACATACCTCGCCTGTACCACCTTCTGCTTACAGCCCCACGGCTCTGCACATTCCCACTGTCTTTTCACAGAAAGTAACCACTCTGCCTAGAGCAAATAGAGTTATTCTGTCAATAAGTACTGGGGAGGAGGGAGGGTTTGTCCCTGTAGCCAATGGGAATGACCTGCGCCCGAGTTCATTTGGGCCAGAGCTCTTCGAAGCTCATTTTGTCAGCTGAGCAAGGATAGCGTTTTTGGCTCTGTCACTGATTCAGATTTAGTCTGGCACTGTGTAGAGATCAAAAGTCGTTTCTATAGTGGCCTTGTGTTGGATTCTAGTAGATAAGCATTAAGATTGGATGACAGGCTGTGTTTGAGTGGGCATGCCAGTGCAGTTATCCCAACTAACTTGTTTTGCTATACATGGGAAACTGAGACATGCAGTGACAAAAAGAAATGCTTTCAGAACTGTCTAATACATTTAAGAGACTAAATTTCATAAAACAAAGCAAAACAAACAAACAAAAAACCCAAACAACCACACACAAGTGACTTCAAGCTACAATTCTGCCAGACGGATGAGAACTGTCTGTTACTTGTCTATGTCCTGTTTCACTGGTGGTTCAGCCGAATGCAAAATAAAGAATCTTAATCTGATCTACCTAAGCAAGCATACCACATCTATCACCACAGCCTTTTAAATCAGACAAGGACCCAGAACCTTGATCAAATCTGATTTCATTGGAATTTTTTTTTGCTGCAAGTACCCCTTACTTTCCGCTTATCCACAGTGAAGAAGGGAAAGGATGTGGGAGGGGTTTGAGAGTGGTGCTACCTTCCTACAAATAAGATATCTTGGAAGGATGGAGATGAGAGATGGGACAGCTATCTTTTCTGTAGCTGGGCTTAAGAGAAGAAGATTCATATGTCTATAGCAGTTAGCCAAATATATTCCATATAGTGCTGGAGTTCATCTTTGCTATGACTTTGGCGGGCACTATCACAGCATGTCTCCGCAGTTTTACTAGCATTGTGCGATTGCATCAGCTTAGGTGGGGGAACACCCTCCCATGTGATATTTCCAAATTGCCCTTGGGGACCCAGCAGAGAAAGGGCCCCGGATAACTGAATGCCATGCTCTGGTATTCACAGCGTGGGTTACTCACATACGAGACCACATGACTCTCTTCCTGGAAGAAAGGTCCGGTTATCACCAGATCTTATGTTGAGCACTTCCTGCAGCAGCTGTCACACATTCACGCCCAGTGTGGCTGCTAATGTAGTGCTAACAGCTTTCCAGTTTGAAAGGCTGTCAGCACTTTCACAAGGGTGAAAAATACTGAACCAGCTGGATGGTTCCCAGGTACTTGCGGCAGGCTCATTTCCAACTCTGCTTCCTGGGGACCAAGCAGAAGGGAATGTGGTAAAGAAATTTCTGAGACATATTCACCAACATCCTCCTGCTCTTACAGCAGTTTCTGAGGGATTCACCCTTCTGAAACGTCTTTTATTTCCAGCCCGAAACCTGCTGCCCATGTAGCTAACATTTTTCCTCCTTCCTTATCACTAGATGCAGTGATATGAGTGCCAAATCACTTGTGGAGTGGTTCACCTTCCCTGAAACTGCTGTGTGAATCTAGGCTTCTGTTTGAGCTTTGGGCCTGACCCAAATCCTACTAAAGTAAGTGGGGGATTTTTCATTTGCTATGAAGGTCTTTGTATGGGTACAAGAGCTGACCTTGTTGGCCAAATGCTCTTTTTATGTACATCCCCTTTCTTTGCCTTTCCCTCAACCCCCATCTGGTCTCACACCTTGCTGACTGCCTTTGAATGGGAATAATTCCCTCTTTAAGGATGTTGATTCTCTTGGGAAAGGGAGGAGGAGGGAAGGCTAAAAGTCAATTTGTCCCAGCAAAGTTTTGCCTAGTCTCTATCCAGAAAAGAGCTGTTATTTGTTACTCCCATCCCTCCATATCCTGAAGGACAATAAACAACAAAATACTGTTGCTCCACTGACATTTATTTTATTAACACAGTATTTTTTTTTCTTATATTCATCTTAGCAGCAAGAATAATTGAGAAGCTTATGAAGATGTACGTAGGTACAGGAGAACTATTGGCATAATTAGGATCATCTGCCCATGTAAGACATCAGTTTTCCTATTGGGGAAGGGATTCAGTGTCTCTTTCGGAGATACATCTGAGAAGCTTTCTAAGGCACAGCAAATATCTGCACAAGCCCTGCTTACGTGGGAAATGGTGAGGTCTGCTTCACCTGCTGTTTCCTGGAGATGACAGAGCACTCCACATGTTGAGGCAGGGGCAGGAACTGATGAGAAAAGGGTATAGCTTCCCCAGCCCTTCCTCTCAGCTGCAGGGAGGCCCACCTCCTTTGAGTTTCTTTTGAGGTTAATTTTCGATTTAATGGGTATTTGGGATTTGTAAAGACAATTAGCTGCATTAATGCAAGATCATGTAACTGTGGGACTGGGACAAAGAACTAATACTTGTATAGACAGAGGTCGGGAATAATTGCTTCTGGGTGAAACTCAAAATGAAAAAAATGGGGAATATGACAAAAATACTAAGTTTGATACCTTTCAACTTTTTTTTTTTCTCTCTAAAAACTCTTAGAATAAAGATCTTTAGTGCAAGATTGATATTTCTGCCATTTCTGATAAGTCAAGAAATATGGCAAAGAAATGGGACAGACAGTAAAGATGGTGAATGGAAGGATGGATAAAACCAGAACAGGGTGCCTTTTTTGCCTCACCACCTTCCTCCCATGGTGTTTTGCTATTTCTGACAACGCATCAGCTAGTGTAGAGGAAAAAGTAAAATCAGAGTAGTCATTGCTATCTCAATTTTTTTGAGAGTAGATTGAGGTTGTCTTTTCAGCAAAGGCGCTGATTTGTGAGTTACTTCTCTGGGCTCCTTCACCCTGCCTTTGCTGCTAATTAGGCAGTGTTTTCCCTTGAACAATGGAAGGAATGGGCAGCACCTTAGTGATGTTTTCCACTCATACAGGATGTGGGACGGACTATTATGCAGTCAGCTTATCGTAGTCAAATATTTTTCTGGCAGGGCAGAGAGGCTTTCGATTTCATGAAAAATATTGCAGCAAGATGGGAAATCGTGTGTATTCTTTCTACTGCCATCATCAGTTGAGCAGGGGATTTCCCCAGTATTTTTAACTCAAAAATGGGTATTTCTTTTGACACTGCACTCCTTAGACAGCTGATATACTTTTGGCTCTGAGCTGAAATAGGAGACCTGATTTTAGAGCTGGACCAAGTGGCTAAGAATGTAAACCTGGGGTAACCTGAAGTGGGGAAACCACTGAAAAAACACCCTTGATCAGTCAGAAGAGACCTTTCCAATTTGTTTTCAGCCACAGTGCTCATTGACTATCCCTTGTACAAAATCTTTCATCCACCTCCTTAGGCATTTCTCTTCCCTGGGCCACACAGAGTCAAGGGAAATGGAATATGTGGTAGCTCAGCCTGGAAGCTCAGTGCTGTTTTCACACTGAGATGCAGAGCATGGAAGTGCTGGCACAGCATTGGGAGATGACAGGAAGAAAAATGCAGTTTTAGGATGATACTTGAGCATGTGGGAAGGGATTTCTATGCCACTGGTTCCAATAATAGCAGAGAACAGACTTCGTCATGGAAGAGAGTCCTTGCTGTTCTATATTCCTAAGAATACAATTTCTGTGTCTTCATTAGCTATGTAGACACTGAACAATTTTAATGTCCCTTTATCATTTTTTGTGTGTTGTTTTATCTTTAGATTAGCCAGGTTTTCCATGGAAAAGGTCCTCTCATTTCCAGTCCTTCACTTCTTTGTCATTTTACCTTGGGGACAAGTGCTACCCATGTATCAATCTATGAATGTACGTCTCTTCCATACAATCCATTTTCTGTTTTTGCACCGTTCTAGAATAACCCTTTCCTCCATCCCCATTAAAGGCCACATTCATGCTCTAAACAGACAAGTCATCCATCTTGTCCTCCCTCCAGGGAAGGCCTTTTCCACCTGTGGATTTTTCCAGGTAGATCTTAGACAGAGTGATAGCCATATTGACTTTGCAGGTCTCTCAAAGAAAGGTATGCACCAGTATTTGGGATTTGGCCGGAGAAGGCTGCTCTGCAGGGATCTTCAGTTTGGGTTTGCTCCAGAGATACAGGCTGAGGAAAAGAAGAGCTAATATATGCCTCTGGAGTGCCAGGATTGATCGAATGAATTGCATTCCCACTCCCCTCTGTGGTCTTACTAGTATTGCTGTCATGCAGGTCTGGTGGGTCAGGAAAGACTGTGTCTAGCTGGCACAAGGTCTTGGAGGGCTGTAAAGCTGTTTTGTCTGTAACTTCTTCATCCTGCTTCAGAGCTGGTGTTGGAGAGGTGCTCTCGGTTGATGGGAGAGTCTCAGAAATAGTCATGTCCTGCTGGACTTCACTCTCTGTCTCTTCCATATAGGAACCATTCTGGAAGCCCTGGGTTCCCTTGATGCAGTGGAGGAAGCTGTGGGACAACACAGGCACGTCCTCTGCCAGCATGCAGAGGTCAGGGGAAGAGAGAGCTTGATAAGACTCGTCGTCCTTGCTGGCACTATTCTTTTGGGAGAAAGGCTCATAGGTGAAGTAAACCTGACAGGGTTCAATCTCAAAGGAGTTGGGAAGGTGAAAGAAGAAGTAGCCTTGGTTGGTGAAGCAGCTGGACACAGAGTGCCCACTGGTTTCTAAGGAAGGATCAGAGGGCTGCATGCCCTTGGAAAGGAGAAACTGGGATTCATGATCTTTCTTCTGCATAACCTCAAGCACAGAGATTTCTGAAGTTGTGCTGCTCACATAGTAGGAAGATGTGGAGAATGGAGAGGAGAGCCATTTCTGTGGGAAAAAAAAACATAGGAAAGAGGCTATTACACCAAGACTATAATAGTGAAGAACTAACCGTCTTGCCTTTTGTATGCCCAAAGCAAATAAGTGGTGTTTTCTCTGGCCAAGCAAGAGCTGAGGAAAGGGCGTATTTCACATACATTACATCTCAATTCCAGTATTTTCAAAGGAAGTTCATCTTTCTGTCATTTGAAAAAAAAGAGTGGATCCTGCAAGACTATGTTTTGGGATTCCTATGGGGAAAGGAGGGATGGAGGATTAAATTGAAAGGAAGAAAGATAAAAGGAAAAAATATGGAATAATAGATAAAAAGACAAGATTGTAAAGAAGAGCAATAGTGGAAACATGAAAAGCAGGGAATGGGTCTCGTGTAATCCGTTTTAAATAGGCGAGTTTTGGTAATATCCAACTTCATCAACTTTATGTCCAGTAAAGCCATTTTTTCCATTTTCTTTGCCCCAGAAAACTCTGTGATCTATGTTCAACCTCTGCCCCCGAGTAGGCCAAGCTTTCTAAGGCATTGGATTTTGCATTTAGAGATTTTATTTTATTTTATTTTATTTTGAAGCCTTGCAGTCCTCTGGACCCTCTGCAATTTGTCTCCACCCTTAAAGCAAGATGCCCCTTAGGATTACCTCCCACATCTTGCATCTGACACTCCCTTTCTTACAGCATAGAATTGCAATTGTCTTTTTGCAGCTGCTCGTGCTGAATGAGAAATCAGAAGGCAGAAAGGGAGAGAAAAGGAAGGAAGAGGGTGGATGTACATGAAAATGCCTAAGTTCCTGATAAAAGCAGAGTGATGGCAATTGACAGTAGGAGTAAAAAGGAGCTGACTCAGCCAGAGATAAGGCTCAAAAGAAGAGAAGCAGGAAAAGGGGGGAGCAGTTGGATAGTCAAAGGCAGGCAAGAAGGTGAGAAGCTGGGTGGTAGGGAATCTGAGAGACCAGGCTCCCTCCTGCAGGTCCCTTGTATTCTCTCAGGCTTTCCTGTCAGTAAAGGAGGGTACTGAGGTTTGCATGGTTTGCTGTTTCTCAGTTCTGTAATTAGAGATGCATCAGCTGAGTGGCAAGTTTTAGAAGGTCCAAAAAAAAAAAAAAAAAAAAAAAAAAAAAAGAGAACTAGGCAGTTGGTACTGCAGGAATATGACCAGTGTGTGTACATGTATGTGCGAGGACCTGCTATCTGCAGCAGGCCATGTACAGCTGGACTCTCTCCCTTCCTTCCTTTCTCCCTTATAATCACCTAGATCCATCCCTGGCACCATACCTGAACATCACCTCCATGAACTGTGATGAGGTGGGGGAAGAACTTTTCGGGATCTGGGATGTGAATCTTCAGCATCTTCTTAAACCTTGAGAAGAGAGAAAGAGAAGGAGAAATGAAGTAGGACCTGAACCTCACCTCTGTGGAGTGAGTTGCAGCTCATGGCCACTACTATGGCATGTGAATGAGGTAAAAGAAGAACAAGTCCGAGGCAACTCTTTGCTCTTGAGTAGCTTGAAATGCATTAGATGTTGGTAAGATACTCAGAGAAGAGGCAGGTGAAATTGGTATTGGAAAATAATCTCCCCTCATCCTTTTTTTTTTTTTTTTTTTTTTCTGGCGAAGTAGAGCCAATCATTTACAGCCTTATCCACTTCCACTGGTCGCTTTGGGCAACCCACCCTGCCAAGCTGGGCAGATCTTCTTTGTTTCAAAGATACAGGTGGTGGGGGCTCCCCTTTCTGCTATGCTTCCCCCACAGTGTGCTCAGAAGAGCGCAGGACCTGAGCAGCACGTGTCAATGCCTGTTCTGTTAGCAACAGACCAGATACCAGACCATTTGAGCATGTTTTCGCGCCAGTCCAGCTGCTCCTGCTTTACTGGAGGCAGTGTTTTGTCACACAGGGGCAGCACAAAGTGATTTCATCTGTTTCCCTGTTACTCAGAGAGGGCAGCTGATCCTACCAACTGTTTATTGAAGCTTTACAGTAGGCTGCTCTCAGAAAACCTCTTGACCTCTGGAGGCAATGAGTGTACTCTCTGGAGCATAAAGTTCTTGCATATAAACTACCTTACCACCTACCAGGGCAGACGCTATTTTTATTCATGCATATCTAATCCTTCCGTGGTTATTACCTCAGCATTATCCTCCATCAAATCCTGTGTGTTAATTATAATCTGTGGAGAAAGAAGCCCTTGTATCTGCGTGCCATATAGCTAGCACTTTCTCACCTTTCTCATCCGCATTCAAAGTAAACCATAGTGACCAGAGACTTTCTCAGCACTCTATTTAATGCACTTCTTTCTTTCCTCACAGGGCAGCCATTAGAGATTCTGCTCCCTCCTTCCCTGAAAGCCTTTCTTCCTGCTTCCTAGCACTAACATTAGCACCTTGTTTCTCTGTCCCTGCACTGAGATGAGGAAATTACAACCTGAAACCATTTCGAATCCTGGTTTGCTGACAGGTCACTCTCTGTATTACTATTACATTGGGTAACCTTGTGAGACACATTCAGTTCTGACTAAGAGCAGTTTCTGAGCAGAAATTCTGGCAAAGGGATGAGGTCTTTAAAGTATTGTGTAGATGTTTACCAGTATGTGCTGAGGAAACATAGGGCAGTACAGGCCAAATGGAGAAAAAAAAAAGTGCTCCTCACTCAGGGATGCTGGCTATAGACAAAATATAACTATCTTCTGCCTTAGCTCTGGCTAGAGAGTTTAAGTGAGAAGGCAGTACTACCTATGCTTCCTTGTTCCTTTCCCTGGGGAGAGTGCGCTCAGCCCAGTGGCCTATTTTTTATGAGACAATTTTGGTGCATCCCTCTGAAGCATCCCACTGAAGGGACATCGCTCTAACCAAAGGGCAATTGGCAGCTATTTTGAACGGAACAAGGTCATGTCACATGAGAGTGTCACAGTACGACAATACTAGCAGCACCACATAATGTTAGGTTGTAATATATCTGCCTAGATTAACATTAACCTCAAAAGCCTGGGCTATAAGCCATATCTGGGAGTCCCTCTTTATCCTGAGTAATGCTGAGTAAAAATTGGATTTGTTTTTGAGGAGACTTGAAGGAAACAGGACAGGAACAGAGAGGAGCACGTGACTCCTATTTACCATTTCAGGGTCCTCAAGTTAACAAGGAGGGCAGTCCCGATGATCACAAGGATGCAAATACTCACAATAAGAACTAGTAGTACTGGGAAGGATGTTTCTGTAAGATGAGAGAAAAAGAGAGAGCTGCTGTGAAAATCTAGCCGGGATCCTGGAGCTGCCATGGCTGTTCAGGCTGGTCAAAGTGAGCCTCTCAGTACTATAATACACCTCTAAAAACAAGCAAACAAACCCCACCACCAAGGAAAACAAAACAAAACAATACAAAACTGAGATACAGATCAAACAATGGATTCTGCTCTATCATCTAGGATGCCTTAGAGCTGAGATGGGTTTCAGTGTCCACTTGGCATAGTTTAATATACAGTTCCTTGTTGAACAACGTGAACTCCTAGTTCACAATAGCACTTCAGCTGGGGGTTACCGTAGATGAGGTGCCACAGTGTACGGGGCAGGCGTGTTCAACATCCTGCCCATTCTTTGCAAAGGAAATTAGGAAGTCCTAAATTCAGTCTCAGTGATGCTGGAGACATGGAAAGTAGCTACAGGCTGGTTGGGTAAGTAGAGTCATGGGATTCATGAGTGTTCATGAGAGGGTAGGAAGGCCAAGGATGGAGACATTTCAGGATCATGGGGCTGGATTTGGAGAGGTGTGGGAGAGTTTAAGGAAACTAGAAAGATACAGCACTCCATCACAGGATCATTTAGATACTTGACTGGCAGGGTTAGGAGAAGGAGACTGAGTTCCCACATACGGACTGGCAGAACGTTTTAGGCCTATCTTGCATCAACTCAGACTTTTCTTAATGCGTTTCTTTTACATGCATCTGCCTCAAGCACCTTTGCTAGATCTTGTTGTTCAGCTGCCAGGCTCCTCTGCCTGACACCTTACCTCCCTCCATCCCTAGCTTGGTTGGTAGCACTCCTCTGGAGCAGTTGTGAGCAAACAGTGAAAAACAGAAGAAGGATGAGACATTTTTAGAAAGTCCTTTCTTTGCCTGTCCTTGAGATGTTTCTAAGATCACTTTGTCTCTTCTGCCTCTGGTACCCTGGTTATCTTTGGGTCTTGGTTGCTATGGCAATTGGTTGAGGCTGTATCCTATTCATTGACATCACACACTGTCAAAATTTGATCGCCACAGCAACACAGTGCCCTTTCCAAACATAGCTCCTCTGTTTATACCAGTACTAAACACAAAGGGAGGGACTGGGCAGGGGCAGAGTGGGAGCAACATGAGGAGGAATAACCTCTAGCTACCTGTTTCCCAGAAAAGAATTACAGAGATAAGGGCCAATGACTAACTGCAGAGGCTTGCTCAAGGCAGTACATTTCAAGGCTGCAGCAGATGTCTTCCATGCTGTGCTCATTGTGATGATTGATACACATCTTGGAGGGGTATTTTTGGGAGGGGTGCATGCATGCAAATCCCATTCATTCTCCATGAGTCTTTGATTCTTAGGCTCAGATCTCCTTCTGCTTAGGAGTTTCACTGCATCATAATGATCAGTGGCTCCACTGAACTGTACCATTTTATCAATTTGGGCTTTTGTACATAGGTCACACGGCCACCTCAGGAAACGGCAGTCTACCCACTGCTACTGCATGTCACATGTTTGATCTTACTGCTCTAGGGATGAAGGCACTGATTTATGTCTTGTGGATTTTGCCCAGTCTCTGCAAGTTAGATGGACTGCTGCCACTTACTTTACCAGGGCCAGGTGGTAATTCCTCTCCTTAAATCCTATTAAGTTCAGTCTAACTGTAAGATTAGGAGAGAAAGATTGTTTCTAGTCTATATATACCTATTCAGTTAATACAATCCTCCCTTCCCATCTTCCGCCTGCTTCCTAGACTGCTTTGGCCCTTTATCCCTGTTTTCCTTCTCTGAGTCCCGTCACTTCCCCTCCAAGCCAGATTGTCTGATTCCGATCCTTACGGTCAGCATGTGCACTCCACAATATTGTCTCACTCCAGTCACTCCATACGCCTTTGCAGGTACTTGAGGCACTGGGTTTTGCGCGGACAGCTGCCTCATATTTCAGGTTAGGGGAGAGTTTCTCAAACATTACCCACATCTGGTCCTGCACAATGTTAAACGTCTTGGCTGCCTAGAAGAAGGTAAACAATTGAGCATCATTACCACGTTGCTGTGGCTCACAACCTGACAAATCCATCCTGATCAGGTACTTAGAAAGAATCCATCTTAGAGCCTTCCCCCGATCTTTGCTTGTTCATGCTGGAGGACAAGTCATCTTTGTTCTTTTCATCCCTTCCCAGGCCTGTCCTGAAGCTGTCTGGATTCCTCTTGTCACAGCAATAGATAAAACAGGATTCCCATCTGCCACCATGTCACCACGAACATTAGCAGCAGGTGACCCATCTAAAAGTGGGGGGTAATCCCCTATCTAGCTTCCATAAAATTGGTTCTCTCCTGAGAGTAGGGTTGTTCTGCCCAGCAGCCACTCCTGGTTGGCCTAAAGAAAGCCATATGGTGTCAGGCCTCAATCTCCTGCTTTGTACTCACCTCCCAGGGCTGACGAATGGTTCGGTATTGCACTTGATATTCCCGCTCACCATCTAAGTAGTGAGAGGAAATATTCATAGTCCATGTTAAATTGTAGGTGTCTTTAGTCTTCCTAATCAGTTGAAGATTTCCTGGAGGTCTCAGCTTGACTGGAAAGAGAGAGAGCAAGGATGATACCTCCATGCAGTCTGTTTATAACAGGGCTCCACTGGAAGACCTCAATGCAGCAGGATTGTGTCTTGGCTGTATTCAGAGACTCCAGCCACACACTGCTGAATGAAATGGTTTCCTCCTTTCTGTTCCTCCTTCTTCCTCGCTGACACTGACGACAAAAGGCATGTTTTCTCTGGGCTACATTAAGGGCAGCTCCTCCTGCAAGCCTGAGAGTGTGGTCCCTGGAGACGCTCAGTTCCCCATAGTCAAG